TAAAACAGGTTCTTATGTAAAGGGGTCTAAATGGGAAATTTTAGCCTAACATGTTCTTAAAATCTATGTTCTTATACGCGGGTTTTTACTGTATACTAGTCTATATTATGACACTCCTGCTGACGTTACATCTCCTAGCGTCATCGCGCCACATCACTTCACTGCATCGTCGCGTCGCTGCGTCATTGTCGACTGCGCCTTTGCATCTTCACATCGGTAAACTTGTAATACGGGATACACACGAGGATACAGCTCTACACGTGTAGCCCCCGCTACAAAGCGCTAGCTTCCAACCTGTAGCGGGAGCAAAGCGACTACACCGGTAGAGCTAACCAGGATGGTGAAGGCTCAATCTTAGTTTGGGACCCTGGGTTTAAACATCTTTTCTCTGATACACCTACATACAGAAAGTGCTTATAGCAACTGACTAATATGTACATATATATATTGTGTGTGCCATGTTGAATGCACCGACGGACGTTCGTATTTTCCAATGATGATTCGCTAATAAATAATTTCCCACTAGTTGCTTGCATTGAGCATATACACATGCACGTGCGACTCACCATAAAACCCCTCTTTAATTCTCTGTTAAAAACTTCAGCTCTACATCTAAGACTGATCATCTACGACAGAACTAAAGGTCTCTCTCTCTGTCTCTCCCGTTGAAATGCCACGTAGGCATAGCCTCGCACCTGACTCGGCCTGCTGCAGCCATCGTTCCTCCAGTAGACCGTTCCATCCAGGATGCTGGTGCACGTTCACTGGCCAGCCCATCGAGTGCAGTACCTCGTAGAAGTGAGGGTCGACCTTGCCTCCAGCCGTCTACCGTCAACAAACACAAGCATGAATGAAGGGAGAGATGGGAATCTTCTACCATTAGAGTTAGACCGGCTACGGGCAGAAAACACAAGCATGAAGGAAAATGCAGATGGGAGTCTTTCGCCCTCAGACCGGCTACTGGCAGAAAACACAAGCATGAAAGAATTGCTATATGCAGATGAGAATCTTTCGCTCTTAGACCGGCTACCGTCAATAAATACAAGCATGAAAGAACGCTATATGCAGATCTATATCGCTATATATATGTATATATATATATATATATAAGATCGCTATATGCTATCTTTCACCATCAGACCGGCTACCGTCAGAAAACAACAACATAAACGACATATCCCCACGATCAGGCGCCATCTATCTATGATAATCAGAAACACGAGGGAATGGCTCACGACATATAATTGCGAATATCTCACAGGTCTTCAGTGTTACAGCCGAAGGAAACGAAGGAGAGACTACATGTTACAGCCGAAGGGAACGAAGGAGAGACTACGTGTTACAGCCGAAGGGAACGAAGGAGGGACTACGTGTTACTGCCGAAAGGAACGAAGAAGAGACTACGTGTTACAGCTGAAGGGAACAAAGGAGAGACTACGTGTTACAGCCGAAGGAAACGAAGGAGAGACTGCGTGTTACAGCCGAAGGAAACGAAGGAGGGACTACGTGTTACAGCCGAAGGAAACGAAGGAGGGACTACGTGTTACAGCCAAAGGAAACGAAGGAGGGACTACGTGTTACAGCCAAAGGAAACGAAGGAGAGAGTAGCAAACGTTTGCCGCCACCGCCGCCGCCGCCGCTCACCGCATCAGAGAGAATGTCGTCGATGCTCTTCTAGCCACCGAGATGAGGTACGAGTCACCCTACATCACGACGGAATGTAGGAACGTGATGACGGAACGTAACCGATAAAAACGTACGAGCTGTCAGCCTACATGTTACAGCCTAAGGAGAGAGTAGTGGGAACTAAGGAGGTGAGTAGTGAGAACTAAGGAGGCGAGTAAGAGGAACTTAAGAAGAGGTGATGGGAACTTAAGGAGAGAGTGTGGAACTAAAGGAGCGAGTAGAGGAAACTAAGAAGAAGTAGTGGAAGCTAAGGAGAGAGTAGTGGAACCAAGGAGAAAGAGCAGACGTTGATCCATGACTGAAACTCCCGTCCCCCCCCCACACACGCCGCGTCGGTCGCTTAACCAGGCGTTTAGCGAGTATATGCGTTGTATCGTCTTCCTTCTGTCCACTGCGTACGTAGTAACAACGAACAGGGTGATCGCTGGTGGCGGCTTCAGCATGTGTGTCGAGCGCGAGTCACGTCCGCGGTGTAGCGCGGTCGCGGCCAGAGTCCCAGCGCGATGAGCGCGATCGGCACGGGGACTTGTTGGTCCGAACTCTGTCGAAAAAACACGGTGGAAATAAAACCATAAATAATTTAATATAAATAATTGAAATATATATAAATATAAAATATAATAAATATAAAATACCCAATATAATTAATTAATATGTAAATATATTCTATATAATTGTATCAAAGTATAAAAGATGGAAGGCCTGGATAAGGGGCTTATGCAAGTTGGGGCCTGCCACTCCGTTTGTTTCTAGTGAGGGGCTCTGAGGAAATAGCTGTGAATGGTTAGCAAAGAAAGTGGGTATGAGTTTCGACTTGTGGTAAGTCCTATTTCTTATTCTTACTTTGCGTAATTCTCCAAATATGCCTTTGGATTAGGATGATATATAATTATATTATATTAGGATGAGTTTGTTGTTGGCCGGCTTCATGAATGACGACGAAAAAAGATGGGTACGACAACTGTTTCGAGATTTTTGACCATCGTGTATAGTTAAAGATAGGTGGGGAAGCGTTGCTGTTGTAGTATTTAGAAGGTATGCATTTTACAAACCCTAAAGATTCTTAGGTTAGTTAGTTAAATGTTATTCGCATCACTGTATTCAGCCCTGCCCACAATTCTACTTTGTGACCTTTCCTTTCCTAACTTATTCCCGTACTCTTCGCTCCCGCCACCCCACCCACACAGCATAAACCACCCATGACCTCCAACACCCCGCCCACCGCCAACCCGCGCATCTTTTTGAACCTTGACCTCTGACCTTGAGCGGCCTCCAAGGCGAGAAGAAGCCGAGGTGGGAGAGAGCGACGACGCGCCCGTCTGGAACTGTGGTCAGACCACCCGCCCGGCGGCCTGGCAGTGTCCGTTGACCGCACGCAGCGGGTGGACAGCACCTTTTTTATCTCGGTCTCCGTTTCCTCACGCATACGCCTCGAAGTTGACCCCTGCTTGCTGCAACGAGATACACTCCGTGCGCACGGCCGGATCGGCGCGTACTGCACCCTCGCCCTGGCCTCGGTGGACCGGTGCTAGCGCGACAGCTGTCGGGATGCTCTTTAATCTTCTGCGCGAGAGAAAACACCCCGGCCCGAAAAAAAATGTGAGAAAAAATTGTTTGCCGGACGCCGGTGGCGTTGCATGATGGAAACGGTGCGTGTTACTGGGTGGCCATCTTGTGGCTAAGTGGCCATCCTAGTGCGTAAGGCAACGCATCTACTGGCTAATGCCATTCTATGCTAAGCGCGACCATCTAGCTGACCTCTAAGTGGCCATCTAAGCTGACTTACAGTT